GCTCTCCTTCTAGAGTCTCTTCATGGGAAGACAGCATTCACTTGCTGAAGCTTTCAGTCTCAAAGGGACATAAGGTTCCGCAGAGAAAAACTGCAGTTTGTGAAAAACCAGGTTTGATAATTTAGGGCATCTGATATTAGAACAAGATGGACTTCATGGTGACCTGTTCTCCAGAACCCCAAACTGAATGCCAGCTGTGAGGTTTTTCTCAGGCTGGTTCGTTCTTGAAACATTTCTCTTCAATTGCTTTTGGCACTGAAGACCCCCAAGGGCTGGCAAGACCTGAATGAACACCCAGGGCCACCAGCCTCACCATATAGTGAGTGGTCCGCCCAAGGCCACCCACTCCAGGGCGGGTCTCTCCTCTCCTTTGCTGTGGGGTCCTTCCTTTCTCCCTTGCCTATCAGGGCCATTTAGCAGGGGCTGCACTGACCACCAGTCTTCTACGGAAGGCTCAGGCAACTCAGAAGGGTCAATGGGAGAACCCAGCCACAGGCCATGAAGGTTGAATGGGGGTCCCTCCCTAAGTGTCTGTCCCATGTAGCATCGTGATTCAGCCACTGCATAGTGACTCGTGATTAAAACGCCCCTTTCATTGGTGACACAGGTCTAACGGGTGCAGTGCAGATTTTCTGTGGCTAAGGGTGGACTTTCATCCCAGTTTGTAGGCCTTTCTTCTATTTCACTGCTCTCAGATTAAGCAGTATTAACCTGTTCCTAAACTTACTCTACTGTGCTGGGCGAGACCTACGAGATTCCTTCTTTGGCTTAGTGAACTTGAGGACAAAAAAAAAAACATTACTTATGCGGTTTTGATTACTTTTAAGTCTTATAAATGAGTGATGAAATATAAATACCAATGAACATACTTAAGTCTTCTTGAAGTACTTTTTTCCTTGCCCTTGAAATAATAAGAGGCTGTTGTTCACAGCTCGCGTGTGGACAGCTCAATTTACAGCATTTACTTCATCTGGAGTCAAATTAGGGACTGTAGGGAAAACAGTGTGCTCTTCTCACCTGTCCTGGCAGCAAATTTCCACGCAGCGTGCACGATGCTACCAAAGAATACTGTCTAAATGGTGTGCAAAAGAAAACAACAAATGTGGAGGCTGAGAAACATTCAAGTAAATTCTGCACTAGGACCCGAGAGAGACAAGACCAACTGGATGGGCTCCCTTTACTACCTCCCCCTCCCTTGCACGATCAGCATTAGTTTCTATTTGTTTCAAAAAAATTGCATTTAGAACAACAACAACAACAATTTCAACTAATCAAATTTTCTTAAGGGAGAAAAAAAACATATAGGCAAGGAAGGCATGGGTGAAGAATGGGGAAACCCAGATGCACAAGCTCTGAAACCAACAGCTGTGCTTTCACATCTTGAAATAAATCTGTTTCCGGGAATGGAGGTTTCTGTTGTTCCCATTTAAATCCTGATTCACGTAAAACTCAATGACCACTTTATTTTTCAAAGTCAGAATCCTTGTTTAGGATACTTAAATCTCATATCTGATATGTGTAAGGCTTAGGAGAAATTCTTTTCAATGCTGAGAGGCTAAATAAGAGAGTTGTATTATGTGGTAGAGAGAAGGCAAAAGGAAACTGGATTGAGCAAAACCTGAAAATATCTAGATGAATGTTCTTGGGTCAATTAACTGACCACATTCTACTCAACTTACATGAGAAAAAAAATCATGTGGGTCTTTTTTAAGTGGGATTTAACACATAATTCAGCATTAGCATTAGGTTCTATTTAAAAGAAATTAATCCAGATGGAAAACATTTGGCCACTAGAAAAACCAGAGTTTCGCTCAAAATGTAATCCTAACAATCAATTAGAAAGTTGGCAGAATTTTCAGGATCCCATAAGGCTGTTCAGCCTGATGGCTTTCTAGGCAGTGGTGGAAATGACGTTGAAAGAAATATACAAGACCCGTGACATAGAAGCACCTCTCTTTTTGAACTGGTAAACTCTAAAGCTCATTTTATTTTTTACTTGACTCTGCAAGTGATTTGCAAAACATTCAAAAAGTGAAAAAATCCCCCCCCCCATAGTTATAGTTCCTGTAGTTATAGTTACTTTCTACTATAGAAAGTATTTCTAATTTCTTACTTGCATATATTAATGTATATGCCATGACACAGTATAAGCAAATTTCAGGGTTCGTGTGGCCAATCAAAATGAGTGTCACACAAATAAAAGGGAGAGGCTGTTTCTCACCAACTTGCATCCAGTGAAGCCCCAGGACTGATTTAACAACTTGTCAGAAAGGGGTTAACTGGTAAACAGGCATCACACCCGTCAGGCTGAATGAACACACCACTGACATTACAGTTGATGTATAACTTCCTTACAACTTGGATTTCAGTCAAGGTTAGTCAAGGTCTTCTTGGGTGGCTGGCTGTCTTCCCAGAAGTAAAATCTGAGGTGCAACTTCTCACTTGCCACAATCTGCATCATCCGGACTTTTTAAAAGGATCTGCTGCTTCTAAGCGAAACACTTTAGCTCAGTTTGAGTTGGCTGCTAGGACGTTAGGGCTGTATCTGTAGCTCAGCTCTAACATGCATCTCTGTACATGTTCACTCCTGATTTAATACTGTTTTCTCCTTTGTTTCCCCTTTACTGAGATCGTACTTATCCTATGTACATTTCATCGTGTTGTATGGTTGCAGCTCTGTAAAAATCTTCGGGGAAAAGGCAACGCCTAAACACACTTTGGGCTTCCCCAGTGGCTCAGAGGTTAAAGCGTCTGCCTGCAATGTGGGAGACCTGGATTCGATTCCTGGGTCGGGAAGATCCCCTGGAGAAGGAAATGGCAACCCACTCCAGTATTCTTGCCTGGAGAATCCCATGGATGGAGGAGCCTGGTGGGCTACAGTCCACGGGGTCGCAAAGGGTCGGACACGACTGAGAGACTTCATTTTCACTAAACACACTTTAGCTAAGTTTTACTAAAATCATGATTAAAGTGAATCATGCATACTATACATCACAGGCCAACTCAGGTCCAAGATCTCAGAGATTTAAACATGGCAACACTTCTTAGCAAGTTCATATTCTCTGTATTCTGGAGGATAATACTCAACAGAAATCTGAATTTCAATAGTTAAAAGTAAATTTAAGATAGCTTCAAAGTGCCCCTAATGAATGCTTCTCCAGAAGCTTCTGAAAATCCAAAAGGTTCATTAAAAAAATTGAATCATACAGATTTTTAAAAAGGTCTGTGTGGACTGGTGCCTGGCCATGGAACATGATTAGCATACAGGATAACCAGAGGTGGAATCTTTATTTCACAAGTTTCAAGATACAGTACAAAACGAATCTGTACATCTCTCTATTAACAGGATTTGTTTACACAATTATATTACACTTCACCAGCCTTTATACTGAATTTAATTAAATACAAAATAAATTTACAAAAAGTCTACCATGGTGTTCTTTCCAATGACAGTTTATGGTCTTTTAAAGCGTCTCCTAAATATCAATAGTGGTTACACCTTGATCGTATCAAATGTTATGATTTTTCTTTTTTAAATCAAAGAGAATAGTGTCATCTTATCATTCCAAACAGGAAAACTGGTGCTGTGAGATGACTCTACACATAACCAAGACATCCTTCTCATGCACACATCGGATTTTTACTTGTGCAAATCATTTTTCTGTGGAATATTTTCAATCTTCTTGAAATACCAAGTGGAAGGAGAAATTTAGCTTCTTTTTACTACACATTTAAAAGTCAGGTAGTGCCTCAGACAGTACGGTATTCAGAAAGTTTGTATTTTCACTTATATCTGAGACCAATGACTGATGAAAATACATTTCATGAAAATAGAAGTTCTTTTTGCTTTATTTCTTGCACAGTGGTAGTCATAATATTGTGTAACATATAATTAAATTCACTTTTAAACCAAACAGTAGCTGTTATCAGGGCAAATGTAGCCCATGCTGCTCTTCTTGTTAAGTAAGGGGGCTGTTTAACAGTTGAAGCACTTTTGTTTTGAAATGTGCATGTGAAATGTTAGTCCAAACCTCTGAATAAGGTGTTTGCAGATGTAGCTAGACACTATAATACACATGCTACATACATGAAGGCCTGTGGTCTTCATTTATAGGCTTGCATGCATACTTCCAAAACACTGGTTTGAAGAACATGAGGAGCAAAGAAAGGAGCAGAAAGAAAAAAAAAGCTCATACAAAATTCTTGAGTTTCCTGGAGGCAATGGCAGCTCCTTAATTAAATAAAGCAACAGATCATGGGCAGGTCATGGGCAGAAGTTTCTAAAACTTCCCAGTGATACAGAGATACAATAGCTTAGCAGTAAAACTCTCACAAATTAACCGCATATGCAGAAGGGGAACACATCCTCAAGAGTAGTAGGATTAATGATCCACAAGTTAATCTCCTTTAAGTGCTAAATCATTATGGAAGAAGAAGAAACCTTCTATTTTTCTGTGCCATTGAACAGGAACTAAAAACAAGGTAGGCCTTACCCAGAAAACAGAAACAAAAGCTCCAAGAACAAAAAGAAAGGAAAAAAAAAAAAAAAAAAAAAAAACCAATAGTAAATCCCAAACACCAATGTAGCAGAAAACAAAAAGCTAAAGAGTCTCCAGTCTAAATAACCAACAGATCAAACGCACAAGAGAACGGAAGCTGAGTAAAGTCCTTCTGTCACTGCCTCAGAAGGCAGGGAGAAAGCCTCTCACAGGGACGGGGAGAGCTGGGCTGCTGTGGAGAGATGAGGCCACACTCTTACCTGCTAACTCTAAATTCTATCATTAAAACTCCTGAATCCTGGAGTTAGTTTAATGTCACTGACATTAACTAGCTTGAGTTACTGTCATTGTATTCAAATGGATGCCATTTGATTAGGTTAAGTATTGAGCATTATTTTAGGAGAAACCCAGTTCCTATTTGTTTAGGTATCAGGTCCCTTGTACAGACCGAGGAAGGGAGCCAAGGATTTCGAGACAGGTCTTTGAATGAAGTCACAGGAACTAAGCTATTTTAGGTTTACCATTCAAACTGCCAGTAGCAAACGAGCCAGGGTGAAACAGGAGGTGGACAAAGGCCAGCAGAAAAAGATGGATTTGGAAGATGAATATAAAGGACAGGAGCAAGAGGAACACCAACAGGAAGGCTGTCGTCACCTGGAGAACAAGACCATCCTTTCCTGTCTGCCTCTGGGGCAGAGACCACTGTTGAAGAACAGTCTTTTTCGAAGTACTAACAGAGGGAAGAAAAGATAGAGAGATAAGAATACTGCTAAAGGAGAAATTAGGTGGATGACAGAAAAACATGGAAGTTTAGTTGTTAAACATTTAAATAAACTAAAACAGTTCCTTTGAAACGAAGAGTGGCTGCTACCATGGATCCTACTTATTTCGAAGGGTGGGGAGAAGAGGCAGGGGTGAAGACACGAACATCCTGTACCAAATGCACACAGATCTCTCACAAAAGAGAGCGAACAGAAGTTTTAGTATTTACATGAGCTGCCCAAAGTGACATTACACTTCTGAGTGTAAAATGTCCTACCTTTCAGATCTGCATTTACACATGTGGGTCTTGCTGTGACCACCTCTTCGGGTTTAGAAGCAACTATCCAGGAGGAAAGTTCGCTCACCAGGTTCCTCGTAATACTCTACACACACCACACACACAAAAGCACACAACTTCACATTTAGAGCCCTCAGCTTCCTTACGGACTGGTTAGACCTAGTTCTAAATACAACCCCCACTTCAAAAACCAAAGTTTTACAACTCTACAGGTAAGGAACTCTTCAAGTTTCCTGGCAGATGAGGTGTTACGGAAAGATGAACAGAAACAGACGGAGGTCAGCAAGTGCAGAAAGCCTGCTCAGACGCTAAAGCGGGTCTCAGACTGGACACAGGATGGCGAACGCTGCCATCCCACCATGAAAAGGAGCATGGGTGTGGCTGAAGCTTCTCATTTGTGTGACATGCGATGTTCCGGTGTTTGCTGTTGGCGCTGTGGCGGCTGTTCTCCATACTCCTGAAGCAGACAGTTCTGAAGGGTAACAAACAGCCTTGCTTTCCCTAATGTTTAACCGTGGAGGGTGGTGACCACGGGAGCTACGCAAGTGGTTGATTTTCTCCTGTTATGTCAAGCTGCAGGAAAAAAAATCTATCTGAACAAAGAGGCTTTAGTAGCTTTCTTCAACCACTGATTTTAATGCATCTCCGACTCTCTCTAGAGTTTTAGTATTGTAATGGTAGTTTATGTCTGCCATAGCCTGGCAAGGTTATTTCACATTTAAAGAATTCAGGAGGGTGGTCTGTTCTCTTGCAGTAAGAAATGCAAAGTATTAATAAATTGAATCCTGGGAACAAATGCGTTAACTTTTGGGAAAGTGTGTCTGTGATCCTGGTACCCCCACCCAGAGTCCTTCAATACTGCTTTCTAATTCTCCCGTTCAGTCCAGCCTCTGGCTCCAGATAAAGGCTCTGCCTACTTGTAACAAACAAGCAGGTCACAATGAGTAGGCGGGGCAAGTCCAGGTGTCAGCTCAAGGAGTCAGTTCACAAAGCTTTCTATATACTCCACTCCAAGGAAATGAAGTGCACATACAACTCTTTAACAAGGCCTTTCAGTCTTTGAAGCAGAGAAGTACAGGATAACGTATGACAATCAATTACTGATCATCATAAACCGCCCAACCTTCCCTTTTAAAGGAACAAATATGCTGAATATGTATACTTGCATGTGGACTGATAAAAGTTCCTTGGTTATCAGAGTTCTGAAACACTTTGAGGACTTTTTTTTTTTTTAACTTAAAAGGCAAGTTCTATTTTCAGACTTTCAAACATGTTAAGGTTAGATTTGCAACTAACTGTGTTTTCCTTTTTACATTAATCAGTTTTAGTGTCAACGCATAAGACCTTCAGGATGGTCAACAGAACTTATGCACATTTTAAGAGTGACCAAAGGGACCCAAAAAAGACAGCTGGACACAGCGGACATGACCACTGTGAGTGTCTCGCAAATGTTTCCGGGGTAAGAAAAGGGGGCGGGGGAAGCCACTGAGAGTTGTTATTCCGTACGGCACTGAAATGGACATTCAGCTTAGTTTAGGTAAGAGTTACTTATCCCTGAAAATAAAGGCATCAGATTCCAAGCAGCTTTAGGAATTCAACGCTTCCTTGTGCCTCTTCCAGGAGGTGGCGACCGCTGATCCAAAGTCCTACATTGAATGAAAGCGCTCTCAGCAAACCCTTTCCTTGTCCGTCACCCGTTGGGGGGACGTGGCGGGTTACTGCGGCGGCGGTTGCTCTGGGGGCCCCTCCTGCTGTGGCGGGGCCGGCCGTGGCCCCGGAGGCCTGGGGACAGGCATGTCCTGGTGCTGCCGCTGCCTGTAGGCGATTACTGTTCCCAAGAGCAACGCGATGATGGTCATGAGGTAAAGGTCCCACTCAGGTCCCAAGAGCTGGTCCATATCAAGTTGGGTGAATATGTCTCGAATCTTAGTGAGAATAATATAAAAATCATTATGATCACTTAAACATAAAGCCAGGAAAGTTACCTCACAAATTAAGAGATAAATACTGAATTTATTGAAACAATTGGTTTTAGTAATATTTTGCAATGTCTTTTTTAGAAAAAAGATTTTACTAAAAAAAACTACCATATGACCCGGCAGTTCCACTCTTGGTTATTTATCTGAAAAAAACAAAAACACTTAATTCTGAAAGATATATGCACTCCAATGTTCACAGTAGCATAATTCATTATTGCCAAGATATGGAAGCAACCTAAGTGTCCATCAGTTGGTGAATGAAGATGTGGTGCATATACACAATGGAATATTATTACTTAGCCATAAAAAGAATGAAATTTTGCCATCTGTAGCAACATGGATGGGCTTGGAGGGCATTATGCTAAGTGAAATAAGTCAGACACAAAGACAAATACTGTATGATATCACTGATACGTGGTGTCTAAAAAATTTACAAACTAGTGAATATAACAAAAAAGAAGCGGACTCACAGATCAGAGAACAAACTAGTGGTTACCAATGAGGAGAGGGAAGTGGGAGGGGCCATACAAAGGTGCGGGATTAAGAGACACAAACTGTTACGTGTAACATAAGCTACAACGTGGAGAATACAGCCGGTAATTTATAATAGCCATACATGGAGTGCAATCTATAAAATTATGAATCACTACATTGTATACCTGTAACTCTATAGTATTGTACATTAACTGCACTTCAGTAAGAAAAAAACTAAAAATTAAAGCCCACCAGACTTTAACAAAGTAACCAGTCTAATAAAATTAAGAACTAGACAAAACAAAACAATCAGTTCAACTGAAAAAATGAAAAGTACTCGGGTTTGATCTCTGGGGCAGAAAGATCCCCTGGAGAAGAAAATGGCAACCCGCTCCAGCATTCCTGCCTGGAGAATTCCATGGACAGAGGAGCCTGGCGGGCTATAGTGTATGGAACTGCAGAAAGTCAGACAGGACTGAGTGACTAAACACAACAAAGTATCTTACAGGACTTCTTCCCATCAGTAACTTAATGAGCTAATTTCCAATCGTTTTTCACAGGAAATATCTGAAGCAAACACCGGGGGCAATGGAGGACGGTGCTGGGGAAGCAGTGTCCGGGCACAGCTAGAGCCTGTTTCCAGCAACGACTCACTTGCTAGTAAAAAGCTTTCTTCTACTGACGGCAGGGCTATTTTACTACGGTCTCTCATGTATTGTAACTGAAGGTGTTAGGGATTCGTATGTTTAATAGCTGCACAAATAATGCTTTTTAGTTAGGATTTAACTATAATTGGCTGCTGAAATTGAACTTTAAAATTATGCTGTCTATCATATTTTAATGTCGCTTAAGTTATTCCTGGTATTTTGACTACTACTTACCCTGGACCAACAAGAAAGGAAATATGGGGCATAATCCTTTATGTTTAAATAAAACTACATTTAAAAGGTCCCCATAATATACATTTGTAGGTATAGAAACGAATAGTTTCCTGGGGTAGGACCTACAATAGGAGACTTTGGTTTTCTGTACTGTTTGACTTTCTTACCATCAGTACTTTTTACTCCTTTCGCAGGGGAGGTGGGAGAATATCCAGGTGGTAAGATTATGGGGCACCTTATTGTTCTCCTATACCCCGGGGTAAAACAGAACTTATTACGGCATACTACATGACCAAATCCTAGACTGTGCTCAATACTGATAATTAGGCAAATATGGATAATAATGTAATACACATGTAATCAATAGTTTAGTTGAAATAGTCCTGAGAAAGTAAGAGCCAGTGGCCACACTGCTAGCTTTTCAGTGAAAGGAACGAAGATCCTCTGAGTTACTGATGGCAGAGCGTACAGCATACCCTGGCTCATGCTACCAAACGGCCATAAATTGACATTACGAGTGTCTAAGCAGTGGAGAGGACAGACGCCAGCACCTTCAGCCCTCAGGAGCTTTATATGTGGAGAACCTTGGTGTGTCGGCTAAGGTTGGAAAACGGAGAAGTTGTCCAATTTCGTCTTCTGGATGCTGAAGCAGCAAGGACTCAATCTACATATCTTAACACCGAGTAAACCCCTTTTGGAATCTAACAGTGAAAGGGTGCGTCAACTTGTCCTGAAAGATGCTAACAAAAGGTTGACATCATCCCTTTCTGGCCTGGAGTGAATTAAAGTGAAATAGCCCTTCTTTCTGCATACCTTTTAAGACTCAGAGTTAAATGCTGCACCAGTGAATCTGTTATGAGGAATGACAGGTACTGTAAACAAAACAGACAACTGGGGAACCCAAGAGCACTGTGCTGGAAACCAAGCTGGGAGCTGTGAAGAGAATGGGTAACTCACCCACCTCCTAGCAAGATTCTACCACTGAGCACACTGAAAGAATTCTAGGTATTTTTAGAAAACACTTCCGGTGGTGTTTTTAACATGTTTCACTAGCAGAAGCATCTGAAGCACAGCAGTCTGGGCAGGCTCTCAGGTTCCACTTCTTCCCATGTCTTAAGAGTCTCTCTTTAAGTGGTTGGTCTGAGTCACTGCAAGGCAGTCATCTGATTAAAATGTTTACTGAATTTAGTTAATTACTATTTCAAGTTGTCATGGGTTAGTCTCAGCTTTCCCTAACCAGAAAACATCTGCACCAGTGACAAATGTGCTAGCAATGGGCATACATGCATGCACTGTTGTTCAGTCATGTCTGACTCTCTGCGACCCTGTGGACTGTAGCCCACCAGGCTCCTCTGTCCCTGGGATGTCCCAGGCAAGAATACCGGTGCGGGTTACCACTTCCTATTCCAAGGGATCTTCCCGTCCCAGGGTTCGAACCCGTGTCTCTTGCGTCTCCTGCATCGGCAGGCGGGTTCTTCTCCGCTGCACCACCTGGGACGCCCTTTAGCCCTTTCCCGCTCACTGTCAGGCGCCACCTGGGAACTGTCAGCGCTCTGCGGCACCCTCGTCCCTCACCTGGTGAGGACCCTTTATCCAGGAAGAGGGGAAAAGACCAGTCACTTACACGTCCTTTCTCCTCTCCCCCATCTGAGCAAAACCAAGCCTGTGGGTCGAGGTTACATCGCGCGTATTTTACTGAGCAGAGCCGTGGACCACTTACATTTGTCTCCCGTATGTACTGCAAGAAATAGACCACGCCCAACTTGCAGAGCGCGAGGAAGACTGGTACTTGTGCATCTGGGCTGGCTTCGGCTGCCATGTCATAGAAGCGCTTTGCAAGGTGAATGTCCTATAACAGAGGTAATAAGCCAAGCTTCAGTTCTTGTTAAAGTGAAAATAGTTACTATTTACATGCTCGGAGAGTTTATTTTACCTTTCAAGCTTCATTTTAAAATTTCCCTTACCGAAAGTAAGAACTCAAGCTTTAATTAGGTAAAATTTCTTTTAATTATCTAACCACTTACTTTTGAAGAATTTAATGGAAAAAATTCAAAAGGTAACCTGTATGTCCCTGACCTTGCTGGACACAGTTATATATAATGTCTGTGCATAACACTGTTAACCCGGAGACTTCCAGGGTGACCTGTAGGTCTCAAGCTAACTTTTTTCCTACTTACAAACCAGTCAGTGTAAGGAATTTCTGGTTTCTGTCTGGAGCAGAGATCTTTATACTGGGGTAGACATACCCAAAAGTTTTCTAAGGGGTGTTAGGGGTTTCTCAATCCTCTGTTTCCCCATCTTAGATTATTTCTGTAAAGGGGGAAACAAATTATTACTAACTTTGGCCCAGATGAGGGTGCTCTGCCTTCAGATAAATGGTAGAATGGGATGCTGTAAGCTGCAAAAATCTCATTTAACAACCTCACTTCTCTCATGCCCTGAGTATTGTCAGAGAATACTAAATTCGTAGGTAAGAATTCCATGAGACACGGTAAAGAAAGGCTAAACACTGAGACTGACTTTTCCTGCACATTTAAATAGAAGCGGCTACTTCCAGCTCTTCTGTGTACTTGTCCCTAGGTGAGTCATCAGTTAAACAGAAGAGAACCTTCAAACAAAACTGACAGTATGGTGAGTGGCTTTGATTTTTAAAAAAGTAACACATTTTATCTGCACTGTCATATCTTTCAAGATCATACATCAAACTTTATGTGATCCACGGACTCTGTGCAGATGATAGTCGATAAGAGAAATTAAATCTTACCAATCAACTCCTGAATTATTTATTCCAATTATAACCAATCCTCATCTTGTTTAATACTTAAATTTTTCTATCTATATTAGATGCTGGATTGATTCATTTTTAGAGTATGAATATGTGGTTTATTTAAAAAACAGAAAACAAACAGGAAAAGGTGATCATAATGTCTTATTAAAACTAATGAAATTCCTTAAAAAGTTAGGAATAAAACCACCACATGACTCAGCAAACCCACTCCTAGGCTGAGGAAACCAAAACTGAAAAAGACACATGTACCCCAATGTTCATTGCAGCACTATTTACAATAGCTAGAACATGAAAGCAACCTAGATGTCCATCAACAGATGAATGGATAAAGAGGTTGTGGTACATATACACAATGGAATATTACTCAGCCATAAAAAGGAATGCATTTGAGTCAGTTCTAATGAGGTGGATGAGCCTACAGCCTATTATACAGAGTCAAGTATGTCAGAAAGAGAAAGATAAATATTGTATACTAATGCATATATACGGAATCTAGAAAGATGATACTGAAAAATTTATTTGCAGGGCAGCAATGGAGAAAGAGACATAGAGAACAGACTTATGGGCTTATGGGGAGAGGGGAGGAGAGGGTGAGATGTATGGAAAGAGTAACACAGAAACTTATATTACCATGTGTAAAACAGACAGCCAGCAGGAATCTGTTGTATGTCTCAGGAAGCTCAAAGAGGGGCTCTGTACCAACCCGGGGCGGGGATGGGAAGGGAGATGGGAGGGAGGTTCAAGAGGGAGGGGACATATGTGCACCTATGGCTGATTCATGTTGAGGTTTGACGGAAAACAACAAAATTCTGTAAAGCAAGTATCCTTCCATAAAAAATAATTAAAAAAAAATGGATCCCAGCAGTTCCCCCCCCAATCAAAGGAATACCATGCATTTCATCAGTCTTTACTCGTAAGAATTTGTATAAGCTCTGTAAAACATTACAAATTAAATTTGTATAACATTACAAATTAAATTATTATGCAAAAAGCACTGATTTTCTTATTGTATAGCCTATTATACAAACAGGATTTTTTTTAAATTAAAAGTTTTACCACTCTAATTCTGATTGTCTTTGCAAATTATTACTCAATGTATAAAAACCACAACTTACGTGTGATCTTTTCAGGCATCCAACCCATTAATTTTATTTAAGTTAACAAAGTCAGGCCTTCTGATAGAAATAGTCGGATTAGGCCAACTGGTTTGACAAGGCAAGGACGCTTCAACAGCTGTGCTACTCGGCAGACTGTCCATGAACTGAGTGCACAGCCTGCAGCTCCAGATTCTTGATAAAACTATATTCAACATCTAATATTCACACAAATGTATCAAAAATTACATATTGGAATTAACATAAAATACTCAATCAATAAAATAAGCACTCTGACAAAAAAGCAGTGCATTAACAAAATGAAATGAACCACCTTCTTTTAAGCACAAAAGGTCTCTAGGAGACTGAGTGAGTAAGGAGTATCATCAGCTCCTTGATCAGCCCTGGGAAAGCCTTTCAGGGGTGACTCCCAGAAACTGAGGAAGCAAGAGTCCAGTGACCAGGGAACACTTCCTTCTGGAAGTCTCTAGTTTCCAGTTTGTTTTTCAACAGAATGAAGGGGGGACCTAACCGACTTATCCAGTGACAGATCATTAGAAATAGCTTCGATGACAGATTAATCTGATTTGTGGCATATGTCACAGACTAAATGCTTGTCCGTGAAGCCCCATGCCCTGGTATGAAGAGGCGAGGGCCTTGAGAGGCTCCTGGGACTGGATGAGGGGGGACTCATGAAGGGAATAAATGTCCTCATCAGCATCCTCAATCAGCTGGCTGCTTCTCTCTCACGCTTTCCTCATGAGAGGCCACGGAGAGGAGAGCGCCTGCACCAGACACCAAACCTGCAGACACCCTGATCTTCAACTTCCTGGCCTCCAGAAATGGGGGAAATAAACGTCTGCTGCTTAAGCCACTGCTCTGCGGTATTGTTACGGAGTCCACACTAACCAAGACAGCACAGAACTCTAAAGCCATTTAAAGAACCAATGACCTTGCTGTAGAATTCTTCGCATTCCCATACACTTACTTATGTGAATGAGGTTCCACTCATGTATTTATAAAATGAAAAACAAAATGTTAAATTTATCCCATAATACTTAGAATAATTTTTTCAAATGCTCTTTTCATCTCAAAGATGCATTCTAAATATTAGAGAAAGTAAAATTTTATAAAATAATGAGTTTGATGAGATCAACAGTGTATTCATAATTGACTAACTATGACTAATAATATCTCAATAATTTTTCTTAACACAGCCTAGAATCACAGGAAATAAAATTCAAGTTCAAATTTACATACTTTTTGTTTCAGGTAAGCATGACAGAGTGATCAGTATATGGTATATAATTTTTAGGAATAATGGACTAAAATATAAAGTCAGGGAGAAAAGTAAAAGATACAATTTTTATTTATAACTGCTGTGCTTTTTTAAAAAAGTTAATAATGAATGTATCAAATTATTTGGGGATTTAAAGTAGTTTAGTCATTCCATTTATAAAAATGTTAGTGTTTAAAATAGCTAGAACTTAGACTCCTTGAAACTTAGGAGAAACTTTAAATGTCAAATTAAAAATGTGTAAGAGGATATGTTTTTCAGTTATTTTAACACAGGAAGAAACTTGAAAGACCACAGGTCTAAAGAATGTTAGACCTCAGTAGGAAGGTGAGAATAAGTTCATCAGTAGCAAACATTTTAATTCATTTCAAAATAATTTAGAAATGACAGAGTTTGGCTATTGATGGATACTTTCTCCAACAGGAGTTAACAAGAGAGGCAGCACTGGTTTTCCACTTGTATGAATCTGTCTTTGGCTTAATATCCTAAATACAACAGTGTAGCTACCATTATGTATGTATGCCTGAGGATGAGGGAGGTGAGGGCAGTCTTTGGAAATACTCCAAGACTGGCTTCTAACTTAGCACCTAAAATGTGCGCACACTCCAGAGCAAGCCTATTTCCTGTAAAAGTGAAAACGCTGTCCCCCAAATCAAAACGCCAGCATGCACGCATCTGCAGTCACGCCCACCTGTTTAATGCCCAGTCCCCTCTCATGCATGTAGCCCAGGTTAAACATGGCCTGCGCACTGTGCTGCTGCTCAGACGCTAGACGGTAGTGAATAAACGCCGTCTCGTAATCCACGTCCGTGCCGAAGCCATAGAAGTGGTAGTCTCCAAGCTTGATTCTAGCCACAGTATAGCCTGAAATAGCGGTTAAACGGAAAACTGCCAATCAGAAGCTGTATTTAAAACAGATGAAATTCTTATTTCTCCTCCTGCTAACATGCTTCCATAAAATAGAATGTTAATTTGTAACACACAGTGTGCATGTGCGTGCTCAGTCATGTCTGACTCTTTGTGGCCCCATGGACTATAAGCCGCCAGCCTCCTCTGTCCATGGGGTTTTCCAGGCAAGAACACTGGAGTTATTGGTTGCCAATATGAGTAGGTTGCCATTTCCTACTTCAGGGGATCTTCCCAACTCAAGGATAGAACTCGAGTCTGCTGCATTGGCAGGTGGGTTCTTTATCACCAGTGCCACCTGGGAAGTCCAGCTTATAAACACACGAACTTTATAGCAATTTCTTCAGCCAAGCTACAAATTCAGTATAAAATTTAAATCAGAAATGTTGCACTTCTGAAGAAGGCTTTTGTAACAGTCAGGGAGAGGCAAAACAAAGTGGGTGTAATTTATATTTCACTAACAATACTTTTCAAATGATCACTGTATTCTATAGTATCATTTAACATTTTAAATAGTTCAACTGGAGCGCTGTATAGGAGAATAGATGGGCAGATAACGTTGGGAGTAGCATGCATGAGAAAGAAATAGTCAAACAAAAAAGAGTGGGGAAAGGCTGAAATCTCACGTTTTACACCTATATTCTATTACACATTTTTTTTTTTACACATTTTATTCAATTGTCATTTTACACAACACAATAGCCTCAAACTAAAAATCAGAGTAAAGCATAGAATGATATAAATGTCCATTACAAAGACCCTGCAGTTCAATTAAAAAAGCCTGGATTAGAACTCATTCTAAGAATGAATACCAATCAGGCAAACAAGTTAAGCAACAGTATCTCTGTTAAAAGTCATGAATGATATGATCTAATCCTTATGGAAGATAAAAACAAAGATACAAGAAAGAAAGGCCCCAAGGTTAAACTCTCATCTTAGAACTAACCAACAGCTCACCTTGTGAGGCCGCCCGGTTCCAGTGAAGCAACGCTCTGGGATACGTTTCATTCTCACCTACGATGGTCGCTTCTCCTACAAGGAAAATGAAACACAAACCAGGCATTTAAGGAAAGGCACTAGAGTTTTAGGCTGCATCTGCAAACCAGGGTGGATACATGCAGCATAATTTAAATGAGAAACGGGATATAAAATATTAAATGAAAAAACTGTTGAAATAACAAGTATGGGAATAAAATACTGAGTTCAAAGGAATCATTGCATTCAGGACAACACTGCTTCCCGAGGCATGTTTTAACCACAGAGCTGATAATGAGACTAATTACTGAACCACTCAGTTCAGTCACTCAGTTGTGTGTGACTCTGTGACCCCCATGGACTGCAAAACGCCAGGCCTCTCTGTCCATCACCAACTCCCAGAGTTTACTCAAACTCATGTCCATTGACTTGGTGACGCCATCCAACCATCTCATCCTCTGTCGTCCCCTTCTCCTCCTCCCTTCAACCCTTCCCAGCATCAGGGTCTTTTCTAATGACTCGGCTCATTTAATCAGGTGGCCAAAGTATTGGGAGTTTCAGCTTCAACATCAGTCCTTCCAATGAACACTCAGGACTGACTTCCTTTAGGATGGACTGGTTGGATCTCCTTGCAGTCCAAGGGACTCTCGAGAGTCTTCTCCAACACCACAGTTCAAAAGCATAAATTCTTTGGCGCTCAGTTTTTTTTATAGTCCAACTCTCACATCCATACATGACTACTGGAAAAACCATAGCTTTGATTAGATGGACCTTTGTCAGCAGAGTCCTTTCTCTGCTTTTTAATCTAGGTTTGTCATAGCTTTTCTCTCAAAGAACAAGCCTCTTTTAATTTCATGACTGTAGTCACCATCTGCAGTGATTTTAGAGCCCCCCAAAATAAAGTCTGTCATGGTTTCCATTGTTTCCCCATCTATTTGCCATGAAGTGATGGGACCAGATGCCATGATCTTAAAGTTTTCTGAATGTTGGGCCAGTTTTTTCACTCTCCTCTTTCACTTTCATCAGAAGGCTCTTTAGTTCTTCTTCACTTTCTGCCATAAGGGTGGTGTCTTCTGCGTATCTGAGGTTACTGATATTTCTCCCTGCAATCTTGATTCCAGCTTATGCTTTATCCAGTCTGACATTTTGCACTGAACCACTAGGAATCTATATGCCACTGGAAAAACAATGTTTTTGTATTTGCTGTAGTTTGAAAAATGTATTTAACTGAAAGCAGTTAATTTTATGATCAATGTCGGATCTATTTCTAGTGTCAACTCCATAAAACTCACTTTGATGGCTTAGAGATCTGAGGTAAAATAACTTGAGCATGTGGGCTGTTCATTTCAATAAAAAAATACATTTGTGGCTTTTCTTTTTAAACAAGTTAACCTGATGTCTTAAATTGATGCTTTTGAACTGTGGTGTTGAAGAAGACTCTTTAGAGTCCCTTGGACTGCAAGGAGATCCAACCAGTCCATCCTAAAGGAAATCAGTCCTGAATATTCATTGGAATGACTGATGCTGAAACTGAAACTCCAATACTTTGGCCACCTGATGAAAAGAATTGACTCACTGGAAAAGACCCTGATGCTGGGAAAGATTGAAGGCGGGAGGAGAAGGGAACGACAGAGGATGAGATGGTTGGATGGTATTGCCGACTCAATGGACGTGGGTTTGAGTAAACTCCGGGGGCTGGTGATGGACAGGGAGGCCTGGCGTGCTGCAGTTCATGGGGTTGCACACGACTGAGCGACTGAATTGCACTGAGCTGAACCTGACGTGCACCTTGTGTTCCAACCCCCAGGCAGGATGGGAGTGGGCCTTACTCTGGTCTAGGATGAAGGCTGCGTTACTCTGCGCCACTTCATAGCCCTGCTCGGCCAGCAGGAGGTACTGGATCACAGCAGCGTTGTAGTCTCCGTCTTTGTAGCTGTTGTAAGCGGTCATGAGCCGCTCAGACCACCGGCCCCGTTCACACACATTCTTAAACAACTGTGCGGACAGGACAAAACAGAGGTGTGTCAGAAAATCATTTTTTGTACGTTGGCTACAAGCTATTGTTAAGCTTGTTCTCTCAATCTCTGGCAGCTTTATTAAAAAAAAAAAATATATATATATATATATATATATAAAACTGGGATACTAATTTGAAGCTTTCACTTAGTCTTCAGAACAGTAACTCACTCACTCCTCCTGTGAGGGGCCACTCTCTCACTAGGTTAAGTCCCAGGAACAGCTCCATATTACAAGGAAGGAAACTGAAGCACAGAGGTTTAGAAACTGTGTGTATTCATGCTCTGTCCTGTCCACCTCTTTGCGACCCTGTGGACTGTAACCTGCCAGGCTCCTCTGTCCATGGGATTTCCCAGGCCAAGAACACTGGAGTGGGTTGCCATTTCCTTCTCCAGGAGATTTTCCCGACCCAGGGATTGGACCCACGTCTCTTGCACTGGCAGGTGGATTCTTTACCGCTGTGCGACCTGGGAAGCCCTTAAAACTGTGCTAAGCGTTTAACACTGTCCCTCTGAAGTGCCAATCATGAGAAAGCTGAAGAGGAAAGGTTCCAGCTAGGAGATATGAGCATTCCCCCTGCAACATTCATTTAACATACACTTTTTGATGCTATGTCTCAGATACTGTCCTAGATGCCAGAGAGACTGCACACAATAATATCCGCTCTTGTAAAGGCTGATGCCAGGAGGGACGGACAGACCGAATCAGTGAGTGCGACAGTGACACAGAGATCCTCAGAGCCTTCCCTCAGTGTCTCAGAGCTAGTCGGCTGAGTCTGTTTCTCCTCTAGAAGAAACCATACCAAAAGAGCCAGAAAGAAAACAGCAGCCTCTCCTCCCAGGCAAGCGCAGAAGAGCCCTTACCTCCACTGCAGTGTGACATGATCGCATCACACCAGTGCCGCTGGCATGCATCTGAGCCAGGTTGTAGAAAGCCAAGATATGGCCCCCTTGGGAAGCTAAGTTAAAATACTTCAAGGCTTGTTTGTAATCCCTCTTGACTCCAATGCCATCTGTAAGGAAAATCACACGAGAGGTCAGGAACAGTGTTAAGTGTGATTTAGCTAAAGCATCAGAGAAGCCTTATCTATGAATAAAACTAAATGAAACTCAGAATTCTTACTTCTGAAAGATGTGGATCTTATTAATATAGATTTGCACATTAACACAGATTAATATATTCTCCAGGGCAATACAAGATGTGCACAAATTATTGACTTGGGAGGACATTAATCAGATGGAAACTCAATGGCTCTCATTTCCATATCACAGTGACACCTAGAGGAAAACAGGAAGTTTAGACTTGGCGTATCCGTCGTTACTTACTATAGTACATGGAGCCAAGCTGCAGTTGCCCGTCCACCCAGCCCTGTTCAGCAGCTTTCTGGAAATACTTCAGTGCCAAATCATAATTCTGGAGAAAAAGAATTCACATGATCACATGATGAGAAGGCTTGAAAGACTGACATATTCCGAAGTCAGGAGATTCATTCATAAAAAGAATTCACAAAGCACACAGTATTCCTGAAGTCGTTAAGAGACCTTCTTTTTAATAATACACAGATGGTAATATTTTTTAAGTCATGGTGGATTAACATTCAGACCGTGAAGAAAAACAGAAACATTATTTTGTGAAACAACTTGTATGTCTGCACTCAGGAAGCATGAACAACACTATTAAAACAGCAGACCAAAAACTAAGAAACAGTCACAGCTTTTCTATTAATCAACAAACCCTTTTAAACCTCAATTTTTAAACATTAAATAAGAAAAAGCATTCTCTCATTAGTTCCATCCCTGAACAGCTTATCAAACATCATTATCAGATGTCAAATATCACACATATCCCCAGAGAAAACTGAAAACAAAGGTCACTACGGGATTTTACTATCCTAACATGACTAGATGGACTCAAAATGAGACCACATCCCTGTCTTTCGTGCTAGGGAATACCTACAGGCTAGAATTCTCTACCGAGCTCTTAGTTTGTGCCCAAATTAAAAGAATACATGGCTTGGGGAGATCGGACAGAGGTGGGGACAGTGGTGAGGACCCAGGGGCCTCCAGCGTGAGCAAGAAGCACAGAGGAACAAGGCGCAGTGGCCCTGGAAAACCCGGATGGCCCCGAGGAGGAGAGAGTCTGGGGGAGGCAGAACCAGCGCCCTGCGGGCTGACGCGGAGGTCACTGCTGGGCTGTGCAGAGCAGTGACAGGAGGTGGAAGCCTGACTGCTGAGAGCTGAGGAATGGATGCAGCCGCTCACGGACTTCCTTCTCTGAAGAAACCTGGGCTGCAGGAAAGGGCTGGAAAGGAGAGAGGTGGCAGCTAGACGGGAAAGGGGTGGCAGAGAGAGCTCTCCTCACTCCACACGACAGTACCTGAGAATTTTCTTAGGCCTGAGTGACGAAGCGGCCCGGAGATACTGAAGCCTGAGACAGATGGGCGAGTAAGAGAGGTGAAGAGCAGAGATGGAAACGTGAGAAACAGTTTCACGCCCTGAGAAGGTGCCAGAGACACAGCCACACCTAGAAGATAGCTGCTGTGGTGGGACAGGGTGAGGGGTGGCGGGGAACCCAACTGAGAGAGAATGTTCCAGGTTGAGCTCTGGTTACAAACCAAATGGCCTCACCTGGGCTGACTGGGGGCTAGTTAAGGAACACTTTCCTATGTCACTAGCTGCCTGCTTGTTGAAGTCAGAACGTTAGGACTGAAAACTTACAACTTGAACTCCTCTCCCGTAGAGGTAAGCCATTCCAAGCCCACTCTGTCCAACGGGGTTGCCCTGCCAACCAGACCAAAATTAAAGGATTCATTAAAAAAAAAAAGGCAAGTAAAAGTGACTGCAAAAGAAATAATTTATAAGCATATTCAAAACATGTCTTAGTATGTTTTTCAATTCAAAACAGCATTTCCTCCTTCCCATCAGACTAAACAGGATACTGAGTTTTGGAGACCTAACATTCAATATTTGCTGAAAAACAGTAAAGAGTAAATTCACTTAGAATTAAATTTTGGTGACTTACCTATGAATATCTGGCTCACAAATCTGTGATATGAAACATGACTGATATATTTGATCTTTCCAAAATTAAAAGTAGGTCACTTTTGTTTTTTGGGGGGTGGTTTTCCACTGGTAACCTCCAACCCCGACAAAGAAGATGCTGCCACAGGGCAGAATCAACACATTGAGATCAGTGGTGAGGGTGTGCTTAAGGTGGCTGGACTGTTGTGGAACAAAGACAATCACTGATTTGAGACCTTACAGAGAAAAATCTAGTATCCACCTAAAATCAGAAGGACAGAAGCATCTTTAAAAAAAGTGTCACAGTGCCGCTTCAGAAAAAACTCTGTCGTCTGGGACAACACGTACTAGCTGTGCCAGTCCCACTAGTCAGAACAGCGCCGGCCAGTAACACGTGCTAGCTGACAGAGAGGCAAGTGCACACGCTGGCGTCAGAGCGTCTTAAATACTCAAGAGGCAGCTTTCTCGGTGCCAGAGAAAGTCTAACTTGTGTGTTACAATGATCGAAACTAGTCAGTGAAGCTTTAAACCTCAAGTTGCAATACAAACAGGGTAAATTATATAACTCCCAATTCTACTACTAAAATCATTATTTCCCTGGCCAGGAAACTTCTCAGTGAAATTGAAACAGACTTAATGTTCAATGATCTAGTCCCTAATACACGCGCGCACACACACACACATATCTATGTATATAGCTTTTTATTGAGGTTTCTTCCTAATCTGTTCATCCAAATGAATCATATTAACATAAGCACTTCAAATAATTTATGGAATAAGTTTATTATGATTAATTCCTTTAAAAACTTATCTCTTAAAATAATAGAAATATGGCTCACATTTCAATACACTGAGTCGAGAATTCTTACCATGTCAGCAGCCTTTTTAAAGTAGTGAAGAGCCGTCTCGTTACTCTGAGGTACAATATCGCTTCCCTCTGAATACATCTGGAAAACAGACCCCAGTTTCAATATGAGCTGTAACCTTCTTAGCAATTACATTTTCCCCCTATCTCATCTCATGATTTCATGAACTCTTTCAACAAAGTGTTATAGTTTCCCACAGGGTATTTTAGAATTAAAAGCAAAATCTTAAATGTAGATATTTTTAATATATTCTTGGTCACACCAAATTTACGACTTATCTATAAACATGACTATATAAAATCAGTTCATTGATCAATCTCAGGAGAAGTAATCTTAAACCCCAAGACAAATCTTTCTTCTTGCACTGAGGGCAGTCAAATGGTCAATCAGTTGCTTGGAATAAGTGATTACACGAGGAAAAGGAGAGCTGAGGACAATGTCCACTGCTTTCCCCATGATAAGATGCAAGGACAGTCTTAAGTTCAGGAAAACAGGTAACTCAAAAGTTATTTTAAAAGGTTTCAAGCACTGAATTATTATAGAGTACTGGGTATGGGAACTGATAAAAGGGCCAAGAGAAAGAAGACTGAATGACCGGTAGTACTGTTTTTATCCATGTGTGTATCAGGGAAATAAGGAAAGGAAACCTTTCTTTGAGATAGGGAAAATCAGAAATTCAGAGCAAGAATCGAGAGGGCCGAAAAGTTCTTAAATGCTAACAAAAATAGATGGGCGATACCAATTTCTACACTGCAGCAGTTAGAAAAGTGCAAATGTAAAGTTCTCAGGCCCCAAATGACCAGTTGTGATCGTGTGGCAAATACTGATGAGATCTTTCTCTTTGTAAAAACTTTTGAGATATATTCTACCTGAGCCTCCTAACCCCAGGACTTGGCTAAGGGTGAAAATACTCATTGGTTTACACTGTGTTGGTTTTCAAAATAATGAAAAAGGAAATGGTGAGAACATTCCGTGACGTATGGAATCTGTTCATTAGTCTTTAGACGTAAATGTTTCCTTGGTTGAGAAAAGAACTGCACTGAGAAGTGGGTGATGGCTATCATATTTAAGACATTAAATAAGGTCTGCAGATAAATTTCAACACACCCTAATTGTCTCGAATCAACATGGAAGTAAACAGGCAATTATGACAGACTTAGCAAAAAACTGCACAACATAAAGAATAAATCCCTGATTATTGCATATCATACACCAAAAGTAGGTCCGCAGACAGTGACAATTAGCTTCAGTGGAGAATTAACATACTGATAAGCAAATGCTATGTTCCCTCTAAGTTACCTAAGAAAATGTCTCAGAGCAGCACTTAAGATATAATATGCTCGTACTGGAAATCTTATTCCCAGCTTATTTTTGTTAAATTGTAGACAAATACCGTATGTGCTTAATAGGTGAACACCTCTTGCTAGCAAAGAAAATGTTCACAGGATGTACAGTACCTTTCCCAAGAAGGCCATGGCATGGGAATTGCCAGCATTCGCTGCTAAATTGAAGTAGTCAAATGCTCTCTGTGGGAAGGAATTTATGAAAATTATTAGTTATTAATAGAATCTGCCCTTGGCTTTTAACCAAAATAATTACTTCAGAAACATTAAAAAAATCTTGTTACAGTGAAGCATAGAAGTTGAAGTAAATGGCAACGCAGCATCTGCTGGTTGCGCAGGCGCCCAGCAGTCTAGCAGTCAGCCCAGCCCTGGGTCCTGGTTCCTGCACCGCCGAGCAGGCCTGGAGCGCACCGACCCCCTCCCTCCCCACGGCTCCATCAAAGTGGCATTCTTTCTTGGCGGAACTTCTGCAAAGCGCCCCTCCCTGATCTTTCTGCTTTCATTGCTGGGGTCACCCAAAGCAACTGCTCTTAAGTTTCAACAGGCTGGACCTTCCAGCTCCTTGAAGCGCTGTAAGGAATAGATCAGACCCTTTATCTCAGCACTGTTTCACCTTTTGCTCACTGCACTCCGGGTACACCAGCCATGTTCCTTCCTGCCTGAGGACCTAGACACATCTGTTCTTTTTGGCCTGGGATGACCTTACCTCCAAGGTTTAACTTAAATGTCAACCACACTTCTTTAGAGACAAGTGCTACTTTCCAGTAACGAACCTATCATCGGACACTCTAAGTCTCCTTTGTAACAATAATCACAATTTACTACACGTTTGTTGGTGTGACCGTTGAAAAAAATAACTAATGCTTCTGTTGTTTGTTGGTGTGACCGTTTAAAAAAATAACTAATGCTTCTGTTAAACTTGAGGCTCTGAAAAGGTAAGAACCAAAGGTAAGGTCCAGCGCTGTATCCTGAATGCCTTGTGGTGAATGGGACAGTGGTACTACTCAATGCTGGCTGAGTTCACGCAATTATGTATTGAGAATGCCTTCTCTTCTATGAAAACTTATCCCTGTATAACTGCTTCCCAGGTAGGTAGCATACACCACCAGGAACATCCCGAAACTTGTATAAAAGTAAGCAGAAAACTCTTAACCAGATTTCTGTTCTCTCACCTGACATTTTTACTAACCAGTTCATTTGCTGGGTTCACGGGCACAATGACATGAAATTTTAACATCCAAGAGGCACCTAGAGTTGTCAAAATGCTGTCTGCATAGTAATTTTTAAAAAGCATCAATATCTGGTATCGTTTCAGTGATAAATGCATTTGTTATGATCTAATTCTTAAGAGTTGATGCAATATGATGTATAAAATAACCTTAATTAGAACATTTAACTGGTATGGCAGAAAAACAGAGTTTCATTAGTCAGACACTTACTGAGAACTTACTACATGCTAAGCATTGCCAGGCCCAGGCAATGAGGTGGCAAAGAAGGCAGACACAGCCCATGCTGTTTTGAACCTCACATTCTAGCAGGAGAAACAATTATATTACATACTTGACTAATTTACAATGACAAAGGCCACAGGGAATACAGATTTTCAGAACTCCTAACTGTGGTACACAACCTATTCCTGCAGCGGGGTAGGGATCAGGGGACACGTGTTAGGGGAAGAGACACTGGACCTGACTTCTGGAGAATGAGTACGAACTGTCAGGTGGGATAATAATATTCACTCTAGACAGAGGGACTGGCCTTCCAGAAGTTCCGAGACAGGAGCTTCTTAGTATTTTCAAAGACCTGAGTAAAGGTCCCTGTGCCTATGACTCAGAAAGCAAGGGGCTGGCAAGGGAAACAGCGTGGTCCAAGGCCTTGGAGGTCATGCTGAAGGTTGTGGCTTTCAAGCTACTGGAAATCACAGACCACTCAAAAGAAATTAAAGCAAGGGAACTGCACCATCAGATGCACAGTTTACATCTGCAGTAACCCATACAAGTTACTGTTTAGGAAATGCAGGCAGGAGATTATTCACACAAGTGACAGGTGAACTGAGGAAAGAAGGGAAGAGATGAGTGATACACAGGACAAAAAGCAGATAAAAAACAGATAAACACTAGGGACTGGAAATGGATGTGACTGCTACAGCTGCACACACCTAATTTCTCAAAAACTCAACACTGAGGTCTCCTCAGTTCTAGGAAATACTTTCCAATAGGAGTTTTCAGACATATGTCCATCACATACCTATAGAAAACCAAGACACTCTTCTATGCATTTTTGGCAGCACTGACAACTAGTTTTGGAATTAATAAAACCTTTCCCATCACTGCAAAGTATGACCACATTTTTGTTCTTCAGGTTCCTCAGGGGTTAGACCTTGAAAGCTCATTTGTGATGGTGACTCAATTACAAAGCTTGATATTGTCACTGACTTTGCAAGAAATACATTTGGAGTGTCATAGCTTGCCACAGTATGAAAAGCTAAGCCTGAAGATCAGGAAGGGTACCTGATGGTTTTGTTCTACTCCACGGCCTCCATGCAGGTGCAGTTGTCCCAGACCAACCTGAAAATGAACAAAATGGAGGCAAGGTTTTGTAAATGGTAGCACCTGCATCTGGCCTGTAATTAAATTAGCCCAACAAGAAACATTTGGTCATAAAAAGGGTTCTGTCCATAACACAGAAAAGTAAACATTTTTCTTATGGGATACTACTCTAACTGCATTTTTAAAAAAAATTAAAAACATCTGCTTTTAGTTGCAAAACATCCTTCTGAAAGAGGTGAGAAAAGGCATTTCCACACAAACTAAAGAAAAGTTCAAATCCTTTGAATTACAGGGTGTTCTTCCGGAAGTGGGAAGATTATCCTAGGAAGCTTGGAGATGAGATAAGAAATAAAGAACAACAGAAAGGTAAATCTGTGAGGAATGCTATCCTAGATGGACTGTATAAAAGAACAATTATCTTATGGAGTTCAAAAATACATAGGGTTAAAATACAGACAACCTCCAACCAAAAGAAGGTAAGAAAGGAGAGAAAAGGGAACAGAGAAAAGCAAAATAAAAGCAAGAAAGATAGAAAATTAAAATCCAAATATGTCATTAATTACTCTAATTAAAAGACTGTCAGAATAGACTTTTAAAAATGAACAAAACTAGTCGTATGATACTTGTAAGAAACATACCTTAAACAGTAGAAGATTGAAAATACAAGACAGAAAAGATATTCCATGTAAATACTAACCGAAAGAAAGTAGGGCAGCTACGCCAGTATTAAGCAAGTTAGTGAGTTAAAGGTCGCTCAGTCATGTCTGACTCTTTGCGACCCCATGGACTATACAGTCCATGGAATTCTCCAGGCCAGAATACTGGAGTGTGGAGCCTTTCCTTTCTCCAGGGAATTGAAAGCAAAAAATATTTCTGGAGATAAAAAGAGGACATTTCATGATACAAAAGTTAGTTTAAAAGAAAGATAAGTATTAAGTCTGTATGCAACTCATCATGGCTTAAACTATAAAGTGAAATAGACTAAAAGAAAGAAATCCAGAGTGAAAAATTTCAGTCATGTCATCTCAACACTCGACAGAAAAAGCAGACAAATCCAGTAGGGATTCAAAAGATTTGAATAAAGAATGAAGAAACCTGATTCAACTGACACATACAGAACACTACACCCAATGACTGCAGAAATTCATTCTCTCTACATACGGAATATTTGCCCAAACTGACCAAGGGATGGGGGCATAAAGCAAGTCTCGAGAAATCGCAAGCAACTAACAGCAAAGAGCATATTCTGACTACAGTGGATTAAGAGAGACTCCAACAATAAAAAAGGTTAAGTAGAAAATTCCCATGTACAGTCATCCCTGGGTATCCATAGGGAATTGGTTCCAGGACCGCTCCCCCGCACAGATACCAACATTCTCAGATGCTCAAGCCCCTTGTATAAAATGTGTACAGCCTACACACAACCTCCTGTACATGTTAAATCATTTCCAGATTACTTATAAAATTTAATGTAAACGCTATGTAAATAGTTGTGAATACTATGTAAATAGTTGCCGATGTGTAACAAATTCAAGTTTGCTTTTTGAAACTTTCTGGGGAAAAAAAGTTTTTTGAATATTTTTGATCCATGGTTAATTGAATCTGTGGATGCAAAACCTGCAGTATACAGAGGGCTGACTGGATATGGAAATTAAGAAATTCATTTCTAAATTACACAAGAGTCAAAAAAATGATGAAAATCAGAGCTAAATATAATGAAAATATGATAGTGGGAGAATGTATTTCTATCAGATACTAAGTTCTATAAAGCTATGAAAATTTGAGACAATATTTGCATAAGAAATGTACAAGAAAAAGCACATAGCATTATTTTAATAGCCCAAATCTGGGAAGAATAAAATGGATAAATTGTGATAGTTTCATACAACAAAATACTACACAGCAATGCAAATCAATGAACTACAGCTATGTGAAAACACAAGGATTGATTTCAGAAACAATACTGAACAAAAGAAGTTGATAACAAAAATATGCCATATGACTATTTCTTTTTTACTTAAGTTTCAAAAACAAGCCAAACTAATCTACAGTGTTAGCTTCTATTAGTCTTAAAATTAATTGGAAAAGTATCTACTGCTCATCCCTACATGTTTATAAATCAGAAGGAATTGTCAACTTAAAAAAGGTGGATGGTGAAGTTCTCTTTTTTAATATCATCAAAACAACCCATGAAACAACAAATTACACATGATACTTTGATGTATGTCATACAGTTTACATTAAACAGGCCTACTTCGCTCCCTGACCTTGAGAAAATTATAGTCTAAGATAAGCAAAGGAAACGAATGGTAAATAGCTCTGAAGAGCATCTGAAATGACAAGTGTTCCTGAGACTTTCTGTTTAGAGGAAGCAACAGTTCTTATCTCGGTGACTCCAGTAAGAGCCTTCGTCATTACTGTAATGTTACTCCAATCCAACCGTGGCGCACACTGGAGCCACCTGGCCAGCTTTTAAGGCACCATCGATGCCTGGGTCACAACCCAGATGAATCCAAATGGAAGGTCTGGAGAGTAAATGGGACTAATTTTTAGCTAATAATAGCTCAGTGAACATGTTATAGCTCCAACTGCCTGCCCCCAGAGGCTGTAATACACAAGGCAGTGTACCTTGCAGGAGACCTTTAAACACATACCTGGGCTTGTACATCCCCTTTTTCAGCTAAGAACTGGTAATACTGAATCAAATCTTCCTCGAGCATTCCGCTGTTCATTCCTGGATTTTCAACCTCATCAGGCAGCCTTATTCTCTGCACCACTGAGCCTCCCGTCAGCGAGATATCACTAGCAACTGAAACAGGGACGAAGCAACACGGGGCGGAAAGTCAGAGGGGTGGTCCCACAGTGAGAAGTACCATTCCAGCTGCCAGATACCAACAGACGCTGCGTTAAAGGAAGTTTTTCTGTTGTGGTCTACGGAGTGTGAAACAGTCATCTAAGCTAAATTCAGTTTCTTTCCCACACAATACTAAGAAGTGGAATCCAAAGCAAATTTTTAAAAAGTACTTCCTAAACAAGTGTAAAGATGATTCCACTTGAGAGCCAGTCACAGTATTTCAAGCAGTACAATAAATTTAAAATTAATTTTTTTTTTTTTTTGAGGTAACGTCAAAGGCAAAAAAAGCAGGTACCGTGATTGGCCACAAGACGATAATGAGTCAGTGCGGATTCACAGCTCTGGAGGACTCCGATGCCAGCCCAGTATCGGTAACCCTGTAATAAATGCAACCTCAGTGAGAAGAGGGAAGTTCCACATGCTTCAGTGGCATTCTAGCAGGAACAGATAAAGCTAACCCTACGCAAAGGGAAACTGTACTGTCCTCTGATACAAACACACGGCCACCTCATTTATCCTGAGTGTCACATTCTGAGGTAACTTATTCAGCAACTTTTAACAATCAGACTACAGCTTAGACCTGGGAAATAGACACTAAAGTTCTGAGAGCAATCAAAATAGATGTCATCAACTTTCTGTATGCAGTGTGTGCCCGTTTACCTATACGAGAAAATTACCGAGGCTCTTGCTTTTAGACGAGATTTCAATCTTAGACACAATTTTAACAAAAATCGATTAATCTTCCAAAGCATTAGTAACTTTGTTTTTTTTTGTTAGCTCATATCTTTATTAACCAATATACAATTACTTGTCTTCTGGTTTGTTGAAACAATAGGTCAGATAACATTTGCCACAATAATGTCTGTCAAAGTGACTGGCCATAAGAACTCCAGCACCACATTCATCTGAGGGACACTCCTGGCGAAGGCAACTGATTTTGCCATTCTCATCCACCTTATAGTATTTCAGAACAGCCGATTTAACCTTCTTTCTCTTTATGCTTGTTCTTCTTGGGAGTGGTGTAAGACTTCTTCTTCTTTTCTTAGCACCACCACGAAGTCTCAACACTAGATGAAGAAAGGACTCCTTTTGAATGTTGTAGTCAGACAAAGTATGCCCATCTTCCAGTTGCTTGCCAGCAAAGATCAGTCTTTGTTGGCCAGGAGGAATTCTTTCCTTATCCTGGATCTTGGCCTTTACATTTTCTATTGTATCTGAGGGCTCGACCTCGAGAGTGATGGTCTTCTCCATCAGGGTCTTCACAAAAATCTGCACCTTGGTGGTGGTTCCACCACAGATGGCGGATCCGAAAACTAATAACTTTTAAAGAAGCAACCAACTAGCAATCTAGGGAAGACAAGAAACTACTAGAGACGGGCAGAGCAGTACCAGGAATAAATGACTTCAGAATAAGGGGGAAGACTGCTAATTATGAAGAAGAGAAGAGAACAGAGCTCTCTGGAGTCAGACTCACATAACTTCACCAACTTTAACAGTCCTCAGGGCAGAAGTGTACAATAACATGTGTAATAATACTTAATGTTCTTAGTCTGTAGCCCCTATTTAAGAAGATTGGTAAACAGCTTTAAAATGAGATTTCTGTCAAAAATACTTCATGTTTTCTTAAAACTCATCTAAAAACAACATTTCAATGACTGTGGGAGCAATAAACTTTTTTGGACATGAGACGAACAAATGAAAAAACTTCATAGTGAGGAATGTTTCAGAAAGTTAGAGTGACACTCTCATTTTTCACGTACTGGAAAATGGTTTACCTCTGTAACAGGACCAAGTCCAAGCTCCCTGACGTGACGTCTGGCCCTTTACACGATCCCTGTCTACCTGTCCTGGTGATGACCTACCTGGCATTCCCTTCTCCACCAACAGCTGCTTCTTTCTTTAGAAGGATCTCCTTAACTCCCTCTCCTTCCCCTGCCAGTGTGGGCTGGGAGCCTGTCAGTGATTCCTTCATGTGCTCGTGCTGAATTGTAATGGTCTCCCTACTCACGCCTCCCTCTCGAGAGTAAATGCTTGTTGTGGGCTGGCATTAGATCTTACTGTATGAGAAGCCCAACGCCAAGTATTCAGTGTTTTAGAATACACAGAAGGAAAATCATCCAGGATCTGCTCACTGACCAGAAAACTAGATCTACCTTCTTTGAAGTCTCACAGTCCTGTCAGCGAGCAGGCCTGCGGCCCCTCCAGATCTTCCTTCTTTGTGAAGTCTCACAGTCCTGTCAGAGACCAGGCCTGTGGCCCCTCCAGATCTCCCTTCTTTGAAGTCTCACAGTCCTGTCAGAGACCAGGCCTGTGGCCCCTCCAGACTTCGGAGGTTTCTCCACTTTTGGTCTTACCTCCGCTCAGTCTACTCTCTTTATTTCTGCAAGAATTTAACGCCTTCATTTGGAACACAGCAATATGGGCCAGGGGCTTCCCTCATAGCTCAGCTGGCAAAAAACCTGCCCACAAGGCAGCAGACCTGGGTTCGATTCCTTGGTTGGGAAGGTCCCCTGGAGAAGGAAATGGCAACCCAATCCCGTATTCTTGCCCGGAGACTCCCATGGGCAGAGGAGCCTGGCAGGCTACTGTCCATGGGGTTGCAAGAGTTGGACACGAGTTAGTGACTATACCACCACCACCACCAATATGGGCCAGAGGTCACACGATTCTCTTAAAGTCAATTTATAAAGTAAAAGGCAGATTAAACACCTCAGCAGAAAAGAACATGGAGGTAAGATGCTATATTTTACCACTAAGCCATTTAAATGATCAATGCTGTCGGGTAACATGTAAGAGATACTATGTAGTAAACTTTATAGGATACTGGCTCTTTATATAGTTAGTCAATCATCAATTTAAACATAAAATCTGTCATAATCCAATCTAAAAAATAATTCTGACAAATAATTCCAACTTAAGAGAAAATTGGGAAAAGAGTCATTTATCAGATTCTTATTTTAAGGGCAATCAGCCAAACTAATAATTTTAATGAAAAATCGTGGACTCTACCAATTTTCATCCACATGCAGATTCAACTGCTGTATCCACTAACAAAAATTTGAAGGACATTGGGTCTTAATAAATATAAGTAGACTGTAATCATGAAAGCAAGAGAAGTGGTGGCCACTTGCAATTATGAATATTATTACAATTGTTAGCAATTTTATTACCTTCCATTTAAATCTTACTTACCAAAACCATGTGGGCTATTAGGTTGCCCCCAAGAGCTCCGAAAGTGTAATAAACAAGGGCCTGTGAAAGAAGGAAAGATGCTTAACTGAACACAGTCACAGAGTCACCCAGTCCACCCTGCAGTACACAATAAAGTTTTAACAGTGTTACCTTTGCCTGACTTGAATTAACACCAAGTCCAGAAGCATAGAGAAAGCCAAGAGCCTGAAACAAAATGATAAAAGTCATGAGTGTAAGTTTACCTAAGGCAGACACAGTTCTATGAACCATGAGAAGATGTAAGGGTCCTGAAATGCTAAAAAATGTGAAACCTGCAAATATGCACAATCGTGGAATTAAAAAGCCTCAGAAATGCATTCAAGGTTTTACAAATTACACAGTGAAAAGTTTAAACAAGTAAAAAAAATTAGCTTGAAGATCAAAAGACACTTTAAGAAAACCAAAAGCTGAACACACTTAAATATGACTTTTACTTGATTCTTGGGGAACAGTTACTACGAAAACAAAATGCCTCCTATATCATTACATCAAAATAGTATCTATTGGACTTCCCTGGTGATACAGTGGATAAGAGTCCGCCTGCCAATGCAGGGAACATGGGTTCCGTCCCTGGTCTGGGAAGATTCCACATGCCATAGAGCAACTAAGCCCAAGAGCTTAGAGCCTGTGCTCCAAACAAGAGGGGCCACTGCAATGAGAAGCCCGAGCTTGATGGAACTAGAGAAAGCCTGCGTGTGGCAATGAAGACCCAGCGCCATCCTAAATTTAAGAAACAACATTTTCTTTCAATATATTAGCTATGTAGAGGGTGGTACACAATGATAATGGGTGAGTGAAAGTTGTTCAGTCATGTCTGACCCTTTGCGACGCCATGGACTGTACAGTCCATGGGATTCAGGCCAGAATACTGGAGTGGGAAGCCGTTCCCTTCTCCAGGGGATCTTCCCAACCCAGGGATCAAACCCAGGTCTCCCACACTGCAGGTGGGTTCTTTACCAGCTGAGCCACCAGGGAAGCCCCATAATGGGTGAGGGGTCACTGAACAACTATCCTAGGAACAAAGAGAGGCAGCAAGGGGCTAAGCTGAAGGGGCGGAGGGAGAAAGGTCACCTCCCCTTGCTAGTGCATATACAACTTCTTAAAACAAAACAAAACAAAAAACCAATCAAGCAAACAACGCACTGATAAGGTTCTACCCTCTGCTCTCTGAGGACCACCCTTGATGACGTGAAAGCGTAAGCTCAAGTTGTAAAGGCTGGTGCTATTCTCATCCAAATCCGTGAGCTCTTCTGTGTTGCCCAGTCTCCCCTGAAGTTAGGGAGGGCCACTGCCTCGGATGTGACCAGAAAGGACGCAGGCCAGTTTTAGGCCTGGCCCCTAAAAACATCCCGGACTCCTCCAGTCCCCCCTTCTCCCTACACGACGGCTTGGAAGTCCCGTATTCTGGATGGTGGACAGATCCGTGATGGAAGCAGCCCAGATCCCGAGCCACCATCTGAAGAGTGGCTCGGGCAGGAGCACTGACGGGACCTGGCACAAGCAAGAAATAACCCCTTGTTGCGTGAAGCCACTGTGATTCTGGTGCTTCGTTTCACCAGCGAGCGGTAATGACAGTGGAGGGAGTGCTGTGCAGTGTAAAACAGCACTGTGGCATTGTAAGGTTCTAATATTAAAGAGGAAGGAGGCCTTAAAAGCAAAGTCATTTCTCGGAATGGAATGTGCCTGAAGATAAAGAAGGTATGTGTGTGTGTATTATCATACGTGAAACAGACTGCCAGTTCAGGTTCGACGCATGAGACAGGGCGCTGAGGGCTGGTGCACTGGGATGATCCTGAGGGATGGATGGGGAGGGAGGTGGGAGGGGGCTTCAGGATGGGGACACATGTACACCCATGGCTGATTCATGCCAATGTATGGCAAAAACCACCACAACATTGTAAAGTAATTAGTCTCCCATTAAAATAAATGGAAAGAAAAAAAAAAAGAACGTATGCGTAAATTTTACCTAAACTCATTAGAAGGGGAAAACGCCTTGAAAACAAAGGGAAGCAATTAAGACATAACCTGTTTATAAACCAAAACCAAGACAGATATCTAAGAGTTGCAGACTGGTTACCAGTCCTGTAGAAAACAATGGTCATGATGCCTGTTATTATTTATATAACCTGAAAACAGACTTCCTCTGTGACCAGAAATTTTATCTTTAAGCAAATCCCACACCATTGCTAAATCTTTATTACTGAAGGCATTTTTTTTTAAAGTGGGCAAAATACCTTTATAAGTAGGACAAAAGATTCAGAAACCAAAAAAAAGATGAATAAACTCAACTACATAAAACTGCTTATTTTTACACGAAAACACATAAACAAAATGAAGACAGTATAAAGCATACAGATAAACAGCTGGGTGCAGAGGTACTCAGGGCAAGGCCCGTAAGGTTCCTGACCACAGGCGCGTCTGTCTCCACAGGGCTGGTGCAAATGTAATTTTGGCAAGATGCAAATGCAAAAACGCCTAAATGACTATAAATGATCTCAAATGAAGAAAAAAGACTGTCCAAGAAGACCGGTACAATAATCTGCCACGAAATTAATATTTACAGTCTTACTTGTTAAAGGAAGTCAGAGCAACAAGAGCACCAGGCTGTTAAAGGAAAGAAGCAGCACTGCGCGCAGAGAGCGCTCCGTAGGAAGGACACTCACAGTCTGTCCCTTGGGGGAACCTTCCTCGGTCAGCTTCTCAAACATCTCTTTCGCTGCCTGGATATTCTGTGTCAGGTAATCACCAAACAAAAGAGCATAGGACACTCTCTCCAGGGCCTTGGTGTGGTTCATGCTTGCTGCCTTCTGAAGATACCGATAAGCTCTTTAAATGCAAGTAAAGAAAAAACAAATTAGCGACATTTTGGAAGTACCATTAAAATCTGTTTTCAAGATCTACTAAAATGTAACTTAATTTCCTTACTGTACAGAACCCTTTTGATATTTTTACTAAAGCAGGGTTACTTATAAAACATTGTGGCTACTTTCGTTTTTACGTAGAATACCAGTTCTGTTGTTAGAGTGTCTTGGAATTCTAATTACACTAACAGTAATCCTAAAAAGTTCTATTAAGAAAGTTAACTTGATTTGTAATGTCAGAACAGTAATAATATAGTTTCCAGTAAAAAAAATCCAATGATGACCACTACAACTGTCTTTAAAATTTTTGCACAGACTATAGCAAAAGTCAGCTGAAATTAAGGGGACATAAAATGTTAGAGGACAATCACTTGTTTTATGTTCCCTCATTTCTAAATTCTAGACTTTGTCTGTAAGAAAATTACAAAGCAAAAACAAAAAACCCCAGAAAACACCTGACAACAATTCCTTTTGTCTGTTTTATGTCACTTTGAATTCTGAATAGTATGTGTTCCTGGCACTGAGAAATGACTACAACTTAATCACATACTGCCATTTGTTCACTGTTCATTCTTAGGACTGGGACTTATAACATGTTTATCCCAACAAGCTAAAATCTGATAAAAGTAATGTCCCTAATGTCCATATTAGTAACTTAATGTTATTAATATGGACATTATATTAATGTCCAGATTAAGTTTTCCTGTAATACAACTTGGGAAATCTTTTTATCTCTGGCAGTACGTTCCACTTAAAAAGCACTCAGCCTCCATCTCGGCAAGGGCGGGCTCAGGCAAGGACGGAGTGGGCCGTGCAACCTACTCTCTCCTCTGGTTTTTCCTGTTGCTGCCGTTGAGGATTTTCATCCCGGTCTGGTACATCACTTCTGCTTCCTGCATTTGCCGTCTTTTTGCAGCCTCTTCTTCAGCTGAAAACAAAATGTCAGCTGCATTTACAAGGATAATTCTGCACCAATTACTTGTCAGACATCAGAACGTATTCTTTTTCCCGGGTAGGCATGCAAGCACAATTCATGATTCTTCACCATTTCAAACTCTGACTCTAAAGAGACATGGCTTTAAGTATGGCCTTTATCTGACAAAAGGCAGGGAAACAAAACTCGTTGAGATCACTTTCTTTCAGAGCAGGCACTCTCAAGTCTGCTTTTCTGCTAGCAATTCTAACTGTTTAGTAAATTTAACTAGAATTTCACTAGGAGCTTATGATTATACATGCCAAGGTCAGCTAAAACCAGGGCAGGAAAAAACAGTCAGAAAAATATTATTATTGTCAAAGAACACTTCAGCCTCACCTGAAATGCTGTATATTTTTACAAGGAAAAAGTATTTGACAAATTATGCTAAAAACTTAATAAAAAAATTTGATTTTTATTAACTATAGATCCCAAGTTAATGTTCAAGTTGTCTATTTTTTCCTATACATTAACATTAATACAACCCTGAAAATAACAGAATTATCGTAAATTTTGCAAAAGTTATTTTGCTACTGTAATATAGCATTTTAACAGAAATCTGTAACTCATCAAATGACAGACATATGAATATTTCATTAGGACAAATATTTATAGAAACAGAAGTGAGCTGTTTTTACAATATAATAAAAATCTGATGTATTAAACTGGAGCATTTAATCAGTTGGTCCTCCAAAGATGGACCACATATAAGACTTCATATTCTAGGAGAGCCTAAATATTCTACCAGAGCCTCTATTCTGAAAATGTCATTTGGTATCAACCAAGATATATTTAAGGTTTTCCATTGCTCTTTATTTTCAGCAAGTTTTTCCTGAAAATACAGCTTGCCTTTAGAAGTCAGCCCCTTTGTACTGACTGACATGAACACTTAGGACAGTTAAATACACTGTACTTGTCAAATGTTAACTCAGCACAGGGTATTTCACTCAAGTATTTAGAAAAGGTATTCTCTATTTTTCTTTTAACCACTATTAGTTAACCTTTACTGTAATGTTCTGTTTCCTTTGTTGTCAAAAAAACGTTTCATGTTAATTAATTTAGTAGTCTGCCTGAGAGTCTTCAGAACTACCCATGCACACCCTGGAAAACCACCCCGACATAAGGCACGAGTGTGACAGGCCCGGGTGACAGCCTGGAAGTGGGGGCACGGCCCGCGTCGTGCACTGACGTCCAGGCTTTGAGGGACAGCCAGAGCATCAGTGCTGACTGCTTCTCGGCGAGGGAGAAAACAGACGGCAGCAAAAAGGCCTCCGAACTGCTGGCTGAGGCGTCACCCAATGCGGACCTGCCTCCTGGTCCTGAGACACTCACTCTCACAGAAGCCCCACTTTTCGTCCGCCTTGTAGTCGTAGGTGGTGGCACACCACAGTCTGCCGTCTTCCCTCCCGTCCGAGGTGCACGCGTCGTATTCCTTATCCAGGAAGAGGAAAGGGAAGTGGCAAGGCTCCCCGTGCGCTGTGCCTTCAATGGCGGTCAGAGCTGGAAAGGCAAGGAAAAGATGGGAACACAGGCAGCACCTCTGCTATTTGGGGACTTAACATTGTCGATTTCGGCTACGAGAACCCAGAGACACAGACGCATGATCTGTAATGGGGAACATAAAAGAGCCAGCGCTGATTCTGCTCGGGGACGATGAGAAGGTCAGTCAACTTAGTGAGCGTGGCCAGCTAGCTACCTTGCTCTACATCTAGGTTAGAATTCTGACAGTCTTGAGATAACCTTAGAAGGTCAAAAGTCTACTGAGAGCAGCTGCTCAACTAGTGAGCAAAAAATAAAGCAAGTGCAACTGAATCAATTCCGCTGCTCGGCACAACTCTCCTCGTCTTTTCCCCTATCTGAATGCTGTCGGTCAGTTTCTTCTATAATGTGAAGTTTCACAGCGAAACTGCTCCCCCAGGCGAAGTTAATCACTCACATGCTCCTCTGTGGTCCCACAGCATTTGATTAGAGGACTGATCATCGGCTCCAAGCTTCTTTCTTCACTAGACCCTGGCTCCCACTACTCTGAGCTTGTTAAGGGAGAAACTGTATCTCTGATTTGTTCTCTAAGTTCTTTCCATGTGTCTCCCAGGCACTGGGAATTATGCCAGGGGCTGGGAACTCAGTGGAGCAGAGGGCTCCACTGTGGAGAACCTGCAGTCTTACCAAGGAGACATTAAATGAGCGCACGACGGGGAAAGCCTCCCCGCCAGGAGCTGAAGTTTACACTGGAGCTCGAGGACGTCCAGGAGGAGGTGGCGGACGAAATGCTCCAGGATGGGGTGCAGAGAAGTGGTGCGGGCCAGGGGGAAAGCGTGTGCTAAGAATCAAACGAGAGCGAGCACCGCGCATGAGAGAAAATCAAGTTCCTCATCTCGGAACATGCAGAGTGAGCGTCACAGGGTACGAGAGAAAAAGCCAGAGGAGCACCAAGAAGCCAGACTAGTGAGGTCCTGACAAACCTTACTAAGGAATTCAGGACGACGGAAACTCAAGAGTTTAACGGAGGAGTGACATGCTCATCCTTACACTTTCGAGAGTGGAAAATGGAAAGCCAGGCTGGAAGCCAAGCGACCAGTTTAAAGGCTGTGACAATGGTCTAGTTGAGGGGTGATGACAGCCTCAAGAGGACAATGGAATGGAAACAGCGGATGCACTCGAGCGATGCTAAGCAAACAGAGATGGTCCTTCTTACTGACTGGATGCACAGATGAGAGCGGAGAGAGGCCCAGGGTACGGCCAGGCTCCGAGGCTGCAGCAAGAGCACGGGGCTGTCCCTGCCAGGACAGAGCATACTAGAGGAGGAGCAGGGGACTGGGCAGGGATGACATGGATCAGGAGAGAGGCTAAGTAAGCTTTGCTCCTGCTACATTCAAGGCAGCTAAACAAAACAAACGAAGATGTCTCAGACATCTTCTCGGCTGTAGCCCTGCAAAAAAAAAGGCCTCCAGTTCACAGATACATTAGAACGTGAGAGTGTGCATAAGGACGACAAGTGAGAAGTCCAAGAGCACACCAAAGGGCTAGGCCTGAGCCTGGGCTCCGACCACACTTGGTAAGTATGTGTGCACATGTTAGCATCCACTGGTTGCTTTCACATGGAGAATTTATTTTAGCAGCGGAGCGTAGTAAGTGACAGTATAGGTGCTGGAGTCAGAACACCCGATTCAAACCCTACTGATTATTAGCTGTGTACTTTGAGTGAGTCATTTAATCTCTCTCCTTATTCATAACAGTATTTGCAGACAACTTCCTAATCTTCAAATAGGGATAGCAGTCCTTGCCGCATAGAGTTACTCACAAAGACGAACCGACACCGTTTAAGTAAGGGACTCCTCGTGGTGACTGCCACTTAAGGTGACGAGTCTAAGAAATGGCGCGTCTATTATTTTTACTGGCATGTCTGCTCTGAAAGGCTAGAAAATGTATGCTCCTTCTTTCCAGTGTAAAGAAGAATACATCCTCAGGCTAATCTGAAAATCAGTTTCAGTAAGTTATGAAAGGCAAATGAATTTCTAATCGTTTATACCAGATAAAAATCACTCACCATCCTGGTAATTACTGACCAGGAGCAGTAACTTCTTTGATCTGTCCACTTTTTAAGAAATGATCTTTAATGCAACCTATAAGCAAAGCGTCCTTTATCAACAGCCTCAGAGGGGTCACTATGACTATAGAATCTGAAAAGTTTCTCCTGTGCACTGCCAGTGGGGTCAAATCTGCTTTAGAAAGACGCTATTTGTAACTGCAGTTTGTAAACTTGAATTTCAAACTAAATAACACCCAGTGGTTTAACGAATATTTGATTTTTTCCTATGAAAACTGAAATTTCTGTTTTAAAGGCAAATAGCTTGTCATAAGCATTCTAGCTTGCCAAAACCTGTACTTTTTAAGAGGCTCAAATATATGAAAGAATTCTCTTCCATGTGATGGAATGATACACCAGAAAAGAAACTAAAGAGAATCCAAAGGTTTTTGGCAATACAAGATTTTAATCTACTACTGAATCAGCATTAACTTAAGCTGGAAGAACACCCAGGAACACCTGCTTCATTGGTTTGGTTAAACCGAAATATCTCGGTCAAATTATACACTGGTCATGTAATGTGACTATAAGTAAGTTAATAGAAAGAAAATTTGTATTTCTCAGTTATCTTTTCCGAGCAAAGTCACCACAGGGAAACTGCTATTACCTTTAAAACTTGTTTTAAAGTTTTCCAAAACTTACTGATTGGAGCTTGCTAGTTTCAAGTCAATTATCTCAGGTTGATATTCCTCACAATGGGGTTAATTTAAGTTAATTTTCTTTCCATGGAGAAATTCTGTAAGAATTTCGAAGCTATTATTTTAGTAACAGCCATGAAAACAGTACCAGTTTTAAAAACAATGGTAATCACTGCTCTGGCATATGGAGGCTGACTGATTACGCAATCTGAGTTAATGATAGCTAGCAATCAAATCTGACACTCAAAAGGGAAAAATGTGCCATTGAGTCAATTCTGAATCTTCATGCAAAAATGACATTGCATCACAATTTATTTAGACTGTGGGAGTAAGATATTAAGCTTACGGTATTTGAGAACTTACAATGAGGAACAGAACACTTTATATTTAAAGGTGGAAATTTGCTCTCGCAAAGTCAATTAAAATCATGTAGAAAAGCTAGAAAGGTTTTTTCCCCCTAAAAAAACCCACCCTACCTGACCATGTACCCATTCAGTGCTGGCCAGAATACAGGGAATGGCAAGAACGTAAATTTCATACTGCTGGCAGGGGTGTAGAGGGACGTTTAGTGACATCTGTTAGGAGTGAAAAGTTCCATACACCTTTAGATCAGATTTTTTCAACTGTGGAATATTTACTTATAGAAACGTTCTCACAAGGATACAGAGAGGTATGTCCAAGGAGTGTATGCACATCATCATCATTTCAAAAACATAAACCCCAAAAGAACTCAGAGGTAAGGAAGAGAGGGTTGGTTAAATCAACTACAGTGCAGCTGTTACAGAGACACGTGGCATCCACACAGATGGATTCAAAGGTTACCAGAGACTAGTGGAGACAGAGCACAGGATGAAAGCTGAGTCCCTGGGGCAACCTTCTATTTCAACAGCGGACAGCTTCTGAGGAACCGCAGCCAAGTGAAGAAAGCGTCCTCAGAGAAAGGAAAAAAAAAAAAAACACTTGAGGGGCCAGGAAGATAAGGACCAAGGACCGCCCAGGTCTGCAGCCATCAGGATGTGCCTGGAGGGGCGTGGATTTAATGGTCTGGAGGGGGACCAGGGCCTCACTCCACTCAGACTGCAGAATGGAAAGAGACGAACTTAAGTCAGTGAACACAGACCCCTTTTCCAAGCAAGACTGCTATGAAGCGGAGGGGAGAAGTGAGGCGGCTGCTGGAGCAGCAATGGGGGTCTGGTTTCGGATTCTCTAACGTTCAGATATTGCAGTGTGTTTGAATGTTGGTGCAAAGAATTCAAGCGTGTGGACAGAGACTCTGACTGCCATTCAGTGAACAAAGACCTCTGTCTGCCCAGAGATCCCTGGCCACTGCAGCTGTCCCACCCCCAACAGTACACCCCGAGGGAATTCAGGATGGAGAAAAACAGGACACTGGGTCTATCAGATACCGCGCATCTCAGGGATAATCTCAAGGAGCCCAAACTCCTGCATCTTATCAAACACAGAAAAGCACTAAAATCATTATTAGCTTGAGATGTCCAACTTTTGTGATTAGCAGTAATTTTTTGATGACTGATACCTGCATTCCCCGCCCACCCTCCCAACAACAAAAACTCCTATATATCTTGGCTCTGCCCTTCCCCCTTTGGAGCAGTTTCTCAGAGCCACCTGAGAGGATTCTCCCATGCTGTAGCCCTCAGCAAGGTCCCTGAATAAAGTATTATTTGCAATTTGTAGGTTGCATGTTTTTCTTTGGTTGACAAGAGAAAACAACAAATGTGGCTAGAATGTTGCTATTGGTCTTGAGTGAAATACCCTGGAATACTTGTATCTTTTCATTTTTATTTTAAAATTCAAAACAAAAACATCACTTCTTGATTCACACAAATAAAGGCAACTGTTCTGGCTCTGCAAATTTCCTCATTTTTAGAGCATTTACGCTATAAAAGTGGGCTTCCCTGATAGCTCAGTTGGTAAAGAATCTGCCTGCAATGTAGGAGACCTGGTTCAATTCTGGGTCGGGAAGAGCCACTGGAGAACCGATAGGCTACCTACTCCAGTATTTTGGGGCTTGCCTTGTGGCTCAGCTGGTAAAGAATCTGCCTGCAATGTGGGAGACCTGGGTTTGACCCCTGGGTTGGGAAGATCCCCTGGAGAAGGGAAAGGCTACCCACTCCAGTATTCTGGCCTCGAGAATCCCATGGACTGTATAGGCCAGGGGTCACAAAGAGTCAGACATGACTGAGCGACTTTCACTTTCACGCTATTAAAAGTAGTACATACAAAACACAAGTCCAGATGATTTAAAGCAAGCCCAC